GGAAGCCCCTTCCTCTGGACCAGGAGCAGTGGGACGACGGCTCAGAAGGCCCTACCTCTGGGCCGGGAACAGTGGGACTCAGTACCTTGGTCTGGTGGTCTGGTGTCCTCTGAGTCTTTGTAGTGTGGAATCACGTGGCTGCCTGTCTGCAGCGGGGTGATTCGGCGTCTTCTGCACGACTCAGGACCTCGGTAGGGCGTGCACAGAACTGCCTGTCTGCAGCGGGCTGATTCGGTGTGTTCTGTGCGACTCCGGACCTCGGTAGGGCATGCCTGATATTTTTAATTTACAGTGAATTTATGGGGATGTGACCTCACTGTACATAAAGGAGCATCTGTACTTCTAAATTCTAAAGCCTTTAAAATTGCATTTAGTGGGCCGGGGATTTAGCTCAGTGGTTCTGCTGCCTGCCTCGCAAGCGCAAGGTCCTGAGTTCGATCCCTGGTATCAAAAAAAAAATTGCATTTAGTATCTTGTGAGTGCCCCAGTTATATTGGGAATGGCATAAGTTAATTGGATCCCCTTTTTGATAAAAGTTGTGAAAAAGCTGCATTGCACCTATAACAGAAATGGGATTTTGATACTCTTGCAGTGGACAGGGTATGGCATAACATTTATTGTACCTCTGTGTAAAGTGAGGTGTTTGGTGTGGAAACTCTTTTGCAGCCAAATGCCACCTCCCAGTGGTCAACTGCCTAGAGGACCCACAAAACTGCTAATGATACAGATACACCAAGCCACAGCTAATTAGCTCCAATTTCAAGAGTCTGTTTTTCTGCATTAGCAGGCAGGCCCCAGATCAACCCTGAACATCCACTCAACTTCTGACTCACACACCCATTCCAGGAGCAATATTTTCAAATTGTCTCAGTGAACTTAATTAGTTTTCTTCTACATTATTTTCTTGCTAAATTGTTTTCTTTGATGGAAGATGCTTCTGGGCCACCCTTTCTCTCTTTTAAGCTCACAGGGATTGACCTTACACTGTTAGCTTGTTTTATATTGGTTGGGCTGCTAAAGGGTAGTGGTTCTAAAACACTCACCTTTTACCAGGAATCTGAGTTCCTTGTAACTGTCACATTGTTTCCTCTGTTCCCTTCCTGCACAATAATTAATCTTTTTGTGGCCAATATTCCTAGCACTTTAGAGAAAGCTGTCAATCCTTCAGTTTTATTATATTGGCACAGGATTTGTTTTCATTAATTCCTCTCGCTTTCTTCATAGAAGCATCGTTAACATTAGTCTGACAGCTGTTGTCAGTTAGTCTCACAGGACCCTATTTCTTTATCTGTAAAGTGGGAAGAAATATTACTCTCTACCTAAGAATGCTGTTTTGAGAATTAAATGAGATTATGTTTATTAAATATCCTGCACAATGCTTGGCCTATGAAATGTGCTGAATAAATTTTATTGGATATACAAACCTACTTATTTTTTCAGTGCACATGAATTATTTTTATCTTCCTCTGTATATTCTGTATACTGTTTTTCATAAGTATTAAGGCTATCTGCTTGTTTTATCTGTCTTTAGATGGGTATTTTCTTAAGCCAAATTTTAATTCTATCCAGAAATAGGACTTAGAAATAAGTCTTGTATCTGTGAGGTGTATACCATCTGTGCTAGTCTTGTTAGCTGCATTTCTTCCTCTTCCTTGAGAGTAGATTGGTGTGTAGGGTAGGTGTCTATGGGATCCTTGTTGTGGCATAACTGACTACCCAAAAAGTTAGTGACTTCAAACCACACCCCTTTATTACCTTCTGTGAGTCTGGGGGTTAACTAGATGCAGTTAGCAGTTCTTCTGGTCCGTAATGCAGTTGCACAAGTGTCTTTTTAAGGGTGATCAAAAATATAGTGAATGCTGCTTCTGTGTGCTATCCAACAGAAAGGCAGGCTCATAAGAATGTTACAGTGTGTCCTTATCCATCTAATACACCAGACTTGGCACCATGTGGCTTCTGGTTCTTCCCCAGAGTCAAAATGATCATGAAAGGTAAAATTTTTGAATTGATTCAGGACATTGAAGTACAAAAGAAGACTTCCAGAATTGCTTTAGGAAGTGGCAAGAATGATAAATGTGTTTGAAATGAGGAAAAGTATTTTGAGGGAGATTAATGGCAGTAAGCCTTTTACTGTATACAGTTTTTAAAAAATCAGACATTTTTCTGTCATAATTAGAGAGCACCTGGAGCCAGAACAGCTGATGCAGCTTTAGCACATGTGGCACTTTTGTGGGGCTGGTCCAGCAAATTGTTAGTAAAGAGGGATTGCTAGGATGAAGCAAAGGAAAAATAAAAAGCTTTAAGCCACTCAACCATCACATCATAAAATTATTTTCAAACAATTCATTTGCTCCACCATGAGCAAGAGACTAGAGTTTAGTTGTTGCCATGTTTTAACTTTAAGGGCTCAAATGTGCTAATAATACCAGTGTAGGCAGTGATATTACCACTTGGGTAGAAGACAATGAAATGAGCTTTTTTCAAATTATCTCCTCCCTCTCTCTATTTCTCTGTCTTTCTGTATGTCTGTCTCTCCTTCTCTCTGTCTTCCTGCAGTTCCTTTTGAAACAAATACAAAAGCAGAAACACTCACACCTGATGCTATTCAGAGTGATGAAAGAGACCACAGAGACAGTTCAGAATCTGGCTTGTTGAGCTCATTTCCAGGGAAGGGGCATCCCCGTGCAGTGGAGTCATCAGAAAAAAATCCCAGTGGCACCTCTGTCCCTGATGCTCCCATCATCCTGAGCCCCCCACAGACCCACACAGCAGACACATACCACCTGGTGTGGAGGGCAGGCAAGGACGGCGGATTGCCCATCAATGCCTACTTTGTGAAATATCGAAAGGTAATGTTTTCCTATTTATCATCTTTCTCTTCTCACACCATCACCCTGTTTATGTAACATGTACTTATTGTTTTTCACATTTGTGCAAGGGTAGGAAACAGAATGAGAGTGTTCCAGAATTATGAGTTTGTCAGATCCAGTAATGGTGGATTGACCAATCTTATGAAAGTAATGAGAATGAATTATAGACAATTTTCCCCAAAGTGGGATTCTGAAAACCTAGTAACCATTTCATAGTTTTTTAATCAACCTTTTTCTTTTATCTTTTTGGTGTCAAGCTCTATAAACCATTTTAAAACTGTAATTCCATCCCTTGCTAAGATTGTACGATGCAATTTATTTAACAAATAAAACAGTTTTTTCTAGAAACAACTGTTTGAACAAAACCTTCTGGCATAATTTCTGAGAGTTATTTACATTTTAGGCTGTCTTCTTAATTATATTACAGTCTTACATTATTTGGTCATTTATTTTAGTAAACCTTAAGCCTCTCTTTGTTGATTCTTTATATAATGTTTTTCCTCCATGGGCTTGTATTATGGCAAAATGAAAAAGCTCCTTTCTTTATTTAACGAGACTTGTAAATGAATGAAGTGGGAAGAGATGTACTCATATTTAAAATCACTTTCTTTGTTTAAGACATTTTTATTTTTGTACTGGGGATCGAACTCAGGACCTTGCACTTGCAAAGCATGCAGTGGAACCACTGAGCTAAATCCCTGGCATTTAAGACATTTTGATATCTATTATTTAATTAATGCTTAATATTTTCAATTACTAGAAAAATCAGTGTTGTGATACTAGGAAGTTTATCCATTGTTCATAACCTGATGATTCTAGATGAAGGAAAGTAAATTTTTGTCTACCCTAAAACCCTCCTGCAGTATTGTCTCTTGGTTTCATTAACCAGGAAACAACTGATTGGATCTCATTATATTTCTTCTAACACACATTAAACAGTGTTAACTCATGAAGCAAGAATGCTGTAAATCTTTCATCCATAATTATGCAGTTCATATACATACAAACATATTTAATATAGTATCTGTCTTGGTTTATCATATACGTATTATGTGACACCAATACTATATACTTTTTTGATTCTTCCATTAGCCCAGTAAGAAGCAGGGTATTGTTCTTATTACAAGTAAAGGAAACAGACTTTGGGAGGCCCAGGAATCTCTTAACTGAGAATTCCAGAGTTCTTGCTCCTTATGTTTCTTAATGTGAATAGTATTGTGTCTCCTTTGCTTGCAATGGTACATCATTCCCCAAAGTCCTCTGGAATCACATGAATTCCAGTTTTTATTGAATTTGAGTGAAGGCTTTCCTGCCCTCCATCTCTCATTGTTCTGGGGTTTCTCTTGAGCAGCTGGATGATGGTGCTGGTGCAGTGGGGAGCTGGCACACGGTTCGAGTTCCTGGTAGTGAAAACGAGCTACAGTTAACAGAACTGGAGCCATCCAGTCTTTATGAGGTTTTGATGGTGGCAAGAAGTGCTGCAGGTGAAGGACAGCCTGCCATGCTTACCTTCCGAACCAGCAAAGGTGAGTATAACGTTCCGTTGGAGAAAGAAGCCGGCTGTCTTAATGCCAGGTGATTAGTAAGAATCCTTTTGGATAGTAGAGATTCTTAGATATAAATTCTTGCAACAAGCTTATTATAGTGTCTTTTCTTGGGCCACATTAGAGTAGTTGTAGTATTTCATTCAATATTCCACTCCTGAAAGCTTATGATATGCAGCGTTAGAATAGATAATACAGGGAAAACAGAGATGGTTAAGATCAGAACCATCCCAGTAGAGCTTGTGCTTCCATAAGGAAGGTAAGATCCATCCTTAGATACCAACTGCAAAATTCAGTTCATCTGGTATTTACTGAATGGCTTCATGTATGTGGCAGTACACAAAATAGACAAAACTCTTTGCCCCCATGAAGTTCATATTTTAGTTGGGAAAAGCTTATACATTATTAGTATATTAGAAGGTGGTGTTAACAAGAGACGTAAATTCAGGGATGGATATGAGAAATATGAGGGATAAGATTTGTTACACTTTAAGCAAGTGGCCAGGAATTCCACAGTGATTATTTGGCAGTAGGCTTGCAGTAGGGGAGTGTCTTAGTTACTTTTTCTCATTGCTAAGATGGAAATACCAAACATCCAAAGTTAAAGGAGGAAAGGTTTATTTTGGCTCACAGGTTGTAGAGGTTTCAGTTCATAGTTGGCTACCTCCAAGGCAGGGTGGCATGGCAAAGGGGTATCGTAGAGGAGAAATAGTCCACGGCAAGTGGGCAGGCGAGAGCACATTAACCCTCTTTCTATTCCTTATATTTTACACTGTCTACCTGACCTAGGGTAGGTATAGCACTCACACCCTTAATGCTAGCCAGAACTATGCCAAACTAATCAGTGAATTGATTTAGTAATCACACATCCTTGATCCCAGAACCATACACTCTAGATCCAGCCACCTCTGAAAAAGCACACCCCTCCCATGACTGTATGAGGCTTTAGGGGGAATATCTAGACACAAACCATAACAGAGAGGTAGGAAGGCATGTGGATAGAACACTCCCAAAAGAGAGAATAGCAAATGCCAAGGCCCCAAGGTGGGGTGTGCTTGGTGTGTCCCTAGGAGAACCAAGGTCACCACAGTGATGGGAGCAAAGTGAGTGAGCAGCTGAAGTGAAAAGGTGCTCAAGCAGATGACTAGGTCACCAAATTGTGTGATGTCTTGTCGACTTTGCAAGGACTTTGGCTTTGCCTCTGTGTGAGCTGAGAAGAGCTGGCCCCTTTGAACAGAGAGTGATACAGTGTGCCCTCTGGTCTAACAGGATGATTCTGGCTTTGGGGTACGAGGGAACTGGAAGAGGGCAAGGGTACAGGCAGAGACACCAGAATATGACAAGTACTGTGAGAAATTTCTACAAACAGTACTTGGAGAGAGAGCTCAAAGGGATGGCTCTTCTTCCTTTGGGGCAGCTCTTGAGGGAAATTGAACTGAAGATACTGTCATGACCTGGCCTGAAAGGACATCAGTGGATGGAGATGGGAACTGCAAGGAAGAGTATTTCCATTTGGCACTGACATAGAAAGAAAGTCTGAGGAGTGAGAAGTTCTCTATTGACTTTTGTAAAAACCCCTTTCATCTAATTACTAATTCTAGTCAGCCAATAATAAGTACTTTCTATTTTAAATGTGCCTTCAGCTAATTTTCACCATCATTCTATAATTATTTATAGAGTGACCTATAAATACTGAATAATAATGTATTTCGCTTTTTAAAAAACATCCAATTTTACTTTTTGCCTATGAAATATTGAAACTTATTGTGACCTTTTTCTATCAAAAAACCTAGCAGAAGCTTTAAATAATGAATTGTTTAGTTAATTGTTTTGTTAAGAAATACATAAAGTAAAAAGAAAAATGGGCTTCATAGTTTGAAAACATTTTCATTTGACTTTTTCACTTGTTTTCCCAATGTTAAAGTTAGTATGATGAAGAAAGACACATTTTAGCTTTCTTTTAAAGATACTAGAAAAAGACAAAGTAATTTTTTGGACAGTTCTTAAGATTAGCTAAGTATTTATAATATAGGTATTATATTTAGATGGGGTGGCTGTATCTCTATCTATATTTGTATACCAGTTAAGTTTCATGGTACTTTAAAAAAACTTTACATAAATAACCTAAAATTGCATTGATTTTTGTTTTTTTAACTTTTGTAGAGAAAACAGCATCGTCAAAAAACACCCAGGCATCCTCTCCACCCCTGGGCATCCCTAAGCATCCTGTTGTTTCAGAGGCTACAAACTACAACTTTGGAGTGGTGCTTACAGATTCCTCCAGACATAGTGGAGGTAAAGAAAAGAGCCTTCATTTTATTCTTTTTGTTTATTTACAGTTGTGATTGACCTGTTTTAGGCTTTGGGGAGTGCATAGATTGAAAGGTAGGATATAATGTTATTCAGATTTTATCCTACCACATAGATCCTTAAGGTCCTATTCAACCATTTTTAATGTCCCAGATTTTTTTAAAGTTTGGCAACTCCATCACAATGTTACTTAACCTGATAGACTTACGTTCAGAATGTTTTGTGGCTAAGTTTTTATAACTCACAAAAAGGATTTTTCTGTTTCCTGTTGGGCAAGAAAACTAATTTTCCATTTTGAATGAAGAAAGTCTAACCTTTTGTGTGTGTGTGTGTTTGAATTATCAAAATGTACGGTGATGCCACTGGTAAATTATGTTGCCAAATTACATGTCATAGTCACTTGTATGACTATATCTAGTTATCTTAGGGATTTTAAATGTCTGAGCAGTAAAATTTTCAAAAGACTTCTTAGTATTTAAATTTCACATTTACTGTTCTAGCCAAATGTTTTTTGTGGGTTTGGGCTTGTGTGTGCGCAAATGTGTGCATGTGTGGTGCTGGAGATTGAACCCAGGCCCACGTGCATGGTAGGCAAGCACTCTATCTACTTTTGAGCAACCCACCTAATGGTTTTTTTGTAGTTGTGCTAATATGTCAGGATGTGTAGGGAAGACTTACCATTTCTTAATTGAGCTTTCAGGAGTTTCCAGACTTCTCTCCCATAGTTTTCCATGAGTTGGTTTCATCAAAGGCAGGTCATAATGCTTTGAATTCCCCTCTTAAATGTTGTGAGCCTTGCTTACCTGAGTACTTTCACCTCAGAGGCACCTTTCAGTCATTTTAAACAGGTACTTTATATGAGAGTCAGCTTTATGTGAATAAAGCTAACATCTGAAAAGCAAAACCTTTGTTATTTGTTTAGTACATCCTGTGGAAGACACTGTACTATATGCTTGAAGAGCAAAGATAAAATAATCCTTGCTTTCAGGGAGTTTATAGTATAGTGAATGATAGGGACATCTAAGCCCATACTAATGAGTAGGTGAAATATCTAACTCCATGACTGTAGAGTAGGTGATATTGACAAGTAAACCAGTAGCAATGATTTTGATTCATTCTGCTTGAGACTATACTGATGGTGTTATGGAATCACAAGAGGAATATCCAAGTTGTCCACTTGATACAAAGGGTGAATCGTGGTGAGAGAGGCTCCTCAGCCAAGCTGCAAAGGACAAAAATGACAGTGAGATGAAGAAACAGGAAACGGGGTTCTAGGCAAAGACATCTCCTTACGCAAGAGATGGACAAATGACATATTCTAATTTGTTTACAGGCTTTACTTAGTGTGACTGGTTTAGTGAAACTTTAGGTGAAGGATATGAATTCGGTTTTGAAAATCATGAATTTGGAGTTATCCAAGCGATAGCCCTAAGAAGTGATTTATTTGATCTTCCTAACCAAGGAAAGTAGCATATCCATTGTACAGATTAGGAAACTGAGGCTTCAGGAATTTTGCAGCATGCTTGAGCTCATCTAGACAGTTGTGGAACTGCTGCTCAAATCCACATTTTCTAACTCCAAGTCTTTCTTTTACACCTTTTTTTTTTTGGTACCGGGGATTGAACTCAGGTCCTTGAGCTTGCACAGCAGGCGGTGAAACCACTGAGCTAAATCCCTAGCCCTCTTTTATACCTTTTTAAGGGTCGCATGCTGTTTCTTTAAGACACTTAAGATGTTCTCTGTTTTCCCCAATAACTTTCTTCTCTTATTTGATCTGTGGTATTTAAAGAGTTTGAGCCTCATATGAATCAATGTATAGCTGTTGCTTGATTTTCTAGTATTTGAAAAGAGTTTCACTAACAGCTCTACTCATTCTGTTTCCATTGCTTTCTAATTAAAAGGAATACAGTAAGTATCACTCAAAGTTGCTTGGTTTGAATACATTCCTTTTATTGTCCCTTAATCAATTTGTTCTTGAACTGCCACAGCTTTCCCCATAAAATACTACATCCAACGTGATTGACTTCTTTCTTATGTATTTATAATAAGAGTTGAAGAGGTGTTGAGACAGAAGTGTGTTGTATGAGATACATGACACAGCTAGATAGAAAAAGGACCTCCTTAATGGCTTACCAAAGCCCAGAGTTGGTGCTTCATTTAGAAACTCTGTTGTCAGCACCTGAGAAGATCTGTGATCACTTGAGAACCTCCCTTCCCATGTTTGCAGAGCTCACAGGTGACTATGTAAGCCAGAATGGCAAATTACCAGTTTGCCATTCCCTGAATGTCATATGGGCCAAATTTTTCTATCAATATCTTACCTTGTAGGAACCAAGTGGGAAGGCAGTTTTTACATTTTTGATGTTTTTATTAGTATATGTTTGTGGTACATAATGATTATGTTTGTTCGTCTTAGGGAGTTGGTACATGTACATACACGTCTTAATTCATTTGGGTTTTTTTGTTTGTTTGTTTGTTTTTAGTAACCACCAGGTTGCTTGGTTAGTGAGAGGAGCTAAGCACATGATTTAAGTGGCTGATGAACTCACTACTGATGTCTCTACCTGCCACAGGGTCTAGTCCATCTAACTTGTGAATTAGGGAATCTCTTCCTTTGGCCAAGTTAACTGAAAGCTGCCAGATATCAGCTCCTTGACCCCGCTTTTCTGCATGCTCATGTGGATCATCTTTCTGAGAACACTTTTCTCTATTTACACATTCTGTCTTCCTGCTTTTATTCTGAGCAGCATTCTCTTGTCCCCTTATCAGCAGTCTCAATTTAATCAAATTTTGTCTGTTTGCCATTTGCAGTCTACATTTTGAAGTAACAATTCTTGTAGCCTTGAGGTATACTAAAATAGGATATTATATAATAGTTAACATAATAACCAGGAGGCTGGGTAGGCTGAATATGTTTTATGTAGTTTTGTTGGATAAAAAAAAAATTTAGATAAGGTAACACATAATTGTGAGAATCTGTTATAAACTATAACCACAGCAGACTTTGCAGTATCAAATAATAATTACTTACATATTATTTTACTCATGATTCCAAAATAGCATAGTCAAAATTCTCATACTCATTAACTTTGTCTCAGGTAATTATCAAGTCATCGATCATTTTACTTTTCCTTCCTTTTATTTTTTTTCACCATTTCATTTCTCATTAGCTTTAATGGATGACAGGAAGGCAGCCATAATATTAACTCTGGCAGAAAGTTTACTGAGAAACCTTTAATAACATGAGGTTTGGGGTTTATCCCTTTTAGTTTATTTAAGTTATTCTTGTCTCTGGGTTATTCTTGTCACTCTGGGTTCCTGTGAAGTGAGTGTTTCCATTTTCAGTTCCGGAGGCTCCAGATCGGCCTACTATCTCCACTGCATCAGAGACCTCAGTCTATGTCACATGGATTCCCCGGGCAAATGGTGGGTCTCCTATCACAGCCTTCAAGGTCGAATATAAACGAATGAGGACTGGTGATTGGCTGGTGGCAGCTGAAGATATCCCTCCTTCCAAACTTTCTGTGGAAGTTCGCAATTTAGAACCAGGTTGTAATATTCAAGTGTTTCCTTTTTCTAACCATCATTGCTAACTTTAGATGTGTATTTTTAATGTATCGTTATTGTCAAAGTAATGAATGCTTATAGTAAAAAGAAATTTGAAAATAAAAAAAATATAACCATGTGTGGTGGTACATGCCTATAATCCCAGAACTCTGGATGGCTTGGCCAAGAAGATCACAAATTCAAGCCTAGCCAGGGCAACTTAGCTACTCAGCAAGTCCCTGTCTTGAAATAAAAAGTAAAAAGAGCTCAATGTGAAGGCCCTAGGTTCAATCCCCAGTAATGAAAAAACAAAAAACAAAACCCCCCAGGGAAATAAAAAGAGAGTAAGTCATCTGAAATTAACCATCTGGAGATATTTGGTGTTTATATTTTGGTAAATTTCTCTCTAGCCTTTTTTAAGATACCCTGGCCTGGGATCATATCATATATATTTTTTGTCTCTTTTACCCCATATTATATCATATGCATTCTCCAATATTATAAAATACTTTAAAATCTCAATTTTTAATTTATATATCTACCCTATAAGTACAACATAACCATTTGGGGGAGGGCTATTGGAATTGAACCTAGGGCCTTACATGTGCCAGGTAAGCATTTTACCACTGAGCTACACTCTCATCCCTTAACCATTCTTTTCCTCTGGATTTTAGATTGTTTCTACTTATTTACAATTAGAGATGATGTTGTGATACACATTTGTGTGTGTGTGTGTATGTTTTGCTATGATAGAATATTTTAAGAGGAAAATTGTGTATTATTTGACTAAAAGTGTCTGATGCTGAATCTCAGCACAATTATTCTCAGTGCATAGTCTTATGGAAATGAGACAACAGTTAACACTAGCTTATTCTATAAGTTTTGCTTAGCAGAGGATCACCTTCCCAGAAAGAAAAATAATCGTGAGGCTATAGAGGAGAGATTAAGTTCCAAAAGATAAAAACCATAAACTTTTACTTTTATTTTCTTGGGTTCAAAACCATTTTTGTTTCTGGACTTTTAAATGCAAATGCCTGCGTTTGTCTAACCAAGTAATGTGAGGAGCACAGGAATACATAAGTCTAGTGGGAGAGACAGCAGTTTTAAATGTAGGTAAAGGTAAGTAACATTTTGTAGACTAACATTATGTTCAGGGTTATTTTTGAATGATTAAGACATTTGCATTAAGATTTTACTATATTCTTTAGATTCCAGTCTTTAAAAATTTAGAAACTTTAGCATTTTTTAGAATTCTTAATATTTAATCCAAATAAATTCCTTGTGTGTGGTTAAAGTCTGCTTCTCCTTATCCTATTTTGTTTGATCCAGGGGGGCATCTGTTGTCACTTACCTGTGACTTCTTTATAATATATTCACCATATTAAACTTTGCTCTAGTTTTTCTTTCTAAGGGAAGCTGGTACTTCAACTGATACTGTCTCTGATGGATATAACTTCAGATGGGATGGTAAAGAGTAAATGTCTGTCCTCTTTTTTTATCCTCTACCTGCTCTCTCCATAAGCTTCACTACTATTTCATAGCATTCATTCTTGAGACTCCTAATAACGTCTTGGGAACTCAAATACAAGGCCAGTCTGTTGACTGAAATTGGCAAATAGGTCGAAATCTATTTATCATACAGGCATTAAAGTGTGTTATCATTATAGTAGATAGACACTTGCATATAATTGTTATATTTTGAATATTCTACCTTCAGATGTTTTATTATAGCTTTTTGTAGTTATTGGGTTTTTGTTTTTGTTTTCCCCCTAAAGGTTCAATATACAAATTCAGGGTCATTGCTGTCAACCATTATGGGGAGAGTTTTCGGAGTTCAGCCTCTCGTCCTTACCAGGTGGCTGGATTCCCCAAACGTTTTTCCAGCCGTCCCATAACTGGACCTCACATTGCATATACAGAGGCTGTTAGTGACACTCAGATCATGTTAAAGTGGACGGTACGTAAACATCTTCTTTAATGAGAGCATTTCCTGGTTTGGTTTTGTCAATCTTATATTTTCATGATTTTTGTAAACAACAAAATTGTTGAACTTTTAATAGAGGAGAAGTAGAAGGGCATTATTACTTGTCTAAAAGCACATATTCTAAGAAGGACAAGGTTAAAAATTTATTGTTTCCTTGGCTCTCATCAAAGTGTCATTAACTTAAATGTCATTTTGTGATTTATTCATTTTGAACCAAGTGTACTTTTATGCCTTTGAACCTAGTGAAATACTTTGAACCTAGTGAAATACTTTTATTTAGCAGACCTATACTTAACTATGCTCTAATTACCTTTAAATACCTTTGAATTAAGTTAAAAATGGCCATTAAGTATGCTTACAAAATGAAGCTAGACAAGTATTACCACACAGATAGCAAAATCTTTTTTTGTTGGTTTTTTTTGTTTTTTGTTTTTTGGGGTTTTTTTGGCACCAGGGATCGAACTTGAGACCTTGTGCTTGCAAAGCAGATAACAAAATCTTAATGGATATAAAAGTTAAAATTTTGTCTTTGACAAATTTTTACTTCTTTTTTTTTAGTATATTCCATCAAGTAACAATAACACTCCCATTCAAGGATTTTATATCTACTACCGACCAACAGATAGTGACAACGACAGTGATTACAAGAGGGATGTTGTTGAAGGTAAGTCCCACGGGCAAGCTGGAGTCCCCAGAGGGGAGCTTTGGAGGGAGAGTTCTTATAAACATGAAACCTACATCACTGTAGACTAACATAGAGTAAAAAATGAAATGATATATACACCATCATTCTTGAATTTGTTCCAAGGAGACCCAAGTTTTCCAATTTAATATATATATAGTATCTTATATATTCATTGCAGAAATAGTTACAAAAGTTGGGGGTAAATATGTTTTGTTAGTACTTCATCTGCAAAAGATTTTGGTTTTTCTTTCCTTTAAATGACCAGTGACCTAAATATAAAAATTTGTTGCAACTTCTAGGAACATTTAAGAAATAAGGTCTCACTCACTTTTATTGACTTCTGAACTAGAAAGATCAGATCATCTGTGTTTAGAGAGTCTGAGAATTGGAATGCATGCAAAAAAAGAAAAGAAAAAACAGATAAGAAGGTGAAGGGTGTTATATTAGTCAGCTTTCTGTCACTGTGACAAAATACTAGAGAAAATAAATTTAAAGGAGGAAAGATTTATTTTGGCTCATGGTTTCAGAAGTCTCAGTTCATGGTCGCTTGTCTCCATTGTTCCTGGGCCTGTGGTGAGGCAGAACATCATGATGGAGTGTGTATGGTAAAACAAATTTGCTTAGCTCGTGGAAGCCAAGAAGAAGAGAGGGGAGAGGGGACTCTAAATGTCTTAATGGACATGTCAGAAAATTGCTCTAGGCCAAGGTCATTTTCCATATGCTTTCTGAGGTCAGATAATGCATATAGTTTTTGTTATAATAAATTACTTTAAGTATGCTGTATTACATTTCTTTATGTATTATAGCATACCTTTTAATATTTATTCAGTGGAATTTTGTCAAGTAATGAAAAATTTATGACCTGAATTTTTATACTTGTAGTAGGCGCATAAATGGTTTTTGAGGGAAGGAATGATTCTCTCTTCTGCTGTAATTTTTAGTGGCAAAGCTTTTTGTGCTCTTAGAGGTCAAGATAGTGGCTGTCTTGAGGGAAAGAAGTGGCTAGAAGCTACATGGGGGGAACATTGGGATGCTAGCAACTTCCTCTTTCTTGAGCTAGGTATTAGTACTTTGTTCAGTTTGTGAACATTTATGATCTATACAGTTCTGGGTAATTTTTCTGCATGTATATTGTATATCAATAAAAGGTTACTTAAAATAAATGAAAAGATAATTTTCATCATTGTTCTGCACTTTTGTCCTATCTTAATTTTAGTTAAGCTTATTTAGCAGAATGAAGATGTTAGGTTTTTATTATTAAAAATTTTTAGTTTTTTAATTTTAATTTTTAATTTTTAAAGACAGGATATCACAGTGTACCCAGGTTGGCCTTGAACTCACAATCTTCCTGCTTCAGCCTCTCAGGTGCTGGAATTCTAGGCATGTGTCCTTTTCCCTGGCTTATTTTTAGAAATTTTTACAGTAGTTAAATATTTGTTTATGAAATGGTTCTAAATAAGGCAAATATAAATAAAATAAATATGTGTTTCTGTCTCTCTCCCTTCCTAGTTAAGTTTTCTAAGAAACTGGTAAACAGTTTTCAAACTCTAGGAAAATCTTTGAATTTTTACAGACTTCTGTGACCTGAATATTGAGCATAGGACTTGGAAATCAGTTTGACAAAGCCTTTGTGTCTAGTAGTAGTGTCTGCAAATGTGAGTTTCGTCTTTGGCTCACAGAGGATTTGTTTATAAACCTAATATACTGAGATGTTAGATGTTTAAGTGGGTTTCACTGTGCTGTGTAATTTGCTTATTCCTTATTTTCAAGTTTATGCATTTGAAATTCTTTTTGTGGTAGTTGGAACTATTGGTATGTTCTCCCAAACCCAGGAAGAAAAATATTCATCTTTTGTACTTTAATTTTACTTTAAGAGCTTCTGATTACTTTTATATATTGACCCAAAATTTAAGCTTTAGAAAATTGAAACAATTACCTTAGAATACAGTAAAAGAATAATTATATTATTTGATATATCCAATCTTGTGAATTAAATTCCACATTTAAACTCTGTGTCCAGCATACCAGTGCTTTCGTGTTGAATATTTTTATCTTATGAAGTTGAGTCAGGTTCTGGAATATTAGAGATTATTCTGGTATTTAAGTCCCTGCTTTTGTTTCTCTCTGTGGTAAATCTTTTCCTTTTCTAAAACATCCTTTTGGAAAAGAATTGCCTGTTTAGCAAAGGACATATACTGATTGATTGGTTTTAAACCTAATAAGGCACTTGATTAATAAAAATTCCTTCTCTTTGCTGAAAGTTCTTATAATTTTAGCCATTGGAAGAATTACCATAACAATGGAATATGAATCTAACTATATATAAAAACTATTTTCCTAGTAACTTTTCAGAAGCCAGGTTCAATTGCATTGTCATTAGTGCTATAAAAGGAAGACTTTAGGCCTAGGGTAGCAGTTATTCAAGAGAATGTTTACAGCAGGTGAATGTAAGACCTGCTCAGGAAAGACCTAAGGCAAGAGTAAAAATAGAAGTCTTTGGGGAAGCTTTTGGATTTTAGAATTAGGTCTTTTCCAGCTTCAACCAGTGATTAAGTAAAAATAATTTAGGAGAGGGTTCTCGACATTTATAAATGAGGCATAGAATTCCTTGTTTCTTGAACCTTTCAGAGACCCCTAATCCTAAAACAAGCAGATTTTTTTTTCTCCCTTATAAAATGTGAGAGTATGTGAGAGAGGGTTTTTGTGTGGGTGATGCAGAAAGAGGGTCTTGCTTCCAGACTGAAATGTTTTTGTCTGTGTTGAATTAGAAAGGAGCCTGTGATACTGTACTGGTCTGTCAGCCATGTAGATTGGACTTGCATGTGCAGTTTTGTTTTGTTTTGTTTTTCCCTCTCTCCCTTTAATTCTTAAATGAGTTGGTGGTATACTTGAATTTCTAAGAAACAGTGGAAACAGTTTGAAGAGTTGTTTTCTAGGGGAGGATAAAGAGAGCTCGAAGACTTCATTGAATCTGGCAAAAGTGTCCCTGTTTATGAAAGTTTGTCACAGATCCATGGAAGTGAAAACAGAGAGTGATTTATCCCAGAGTGTTCAGTTTAGGAAGTGTTTCTAAATGAAATGTTGGCTACATGCCATGAATAAGAGAATCATTCTATTGGAGATCCTTATGCAATTTCGAGACCCTGACTCAAAAGAAAAATAGCATTGGGAGTAACAATTGAGGGTTTCCCGTAGGAGAGCTTGCTTTTGGTTATTTCTCAGCTGTTTATTAAGGTATTTGTTTGTCTGTCAGTCCATGTTGTGTCTGTGGCAATGAAACAGAGTTTCACGAAGGTTGCTTGTAAGTGCTCACTTGCTATGGTTAATGTGCTATTTGCTGATTCATTTATGGTATTGCTTTTTGGTGGGAGTACATAGTGAGCTGACTTGCAGGGCTGAAAAAAGAGTCAAAGTATTTGAGATTTCTTTTTACTTATGCATAAAATTAACATTATTTTATGAAAGACCACTACTTATTTTTTAATAAAATAAGTATTACTGATAACAGAGATACAGCTTTAATTCATCTTTTTATTTTTTCTCATGCCACTTAGTAGAAGTGCTATTTATCTGTGGTACACTGTTAAATTCTTACATGAAGTATGTTTTTATCACACAAGCTACTAGATGGTGATGGATCTTATTCCAACCTCATTCTAAAAATATTGAGGAATTATATTGACACTATCACTTAGATTGTATGATGGGCAAAGCTTATCTTTATTTTTTTCTCTTTAGGGTCAAAGCAGTGGCACATGATTGGCCACTTGCAGCCAGAAACTTCATATGACATTAAAATGCAATGCTTCAACGAAGGAGGAGAGAGCGAGTTTAGCAATGTGATGATCTGTGAGACTAAAGGTAAGAGAGGAGTGAGAATATATGCTTTCTCCCTGGGCAGTGCTACAGTTCCAAACTTTGGATTACTCCTTTGGACTATTGATATATTTTCCTAAGGAAATCTCTACTTTGGGCAGTTTTCCAAGTACACATATGTAGACTATCCCAGTAGAACTATATATGTTGGCTAGCACACTTATCTATAAAAAATCATTGACAGGGTCTTGATAAGTTGTGCAGGCTGGAGTGGAACTTGCTATCCTCCTGCCTCAACCTCTCAGATTGCTGGGATTACTCCTAGGTCCTACTTCTTAACACTGTTACAATGGCAGCTGAATTTCAACATGAGTTTTGGAAGTGATGTCAAGCCATAGCACTCTTCTTTACACCTTATGATAGATCTCTTATTATCCCCATTTTCCAAATATAGAACTGGGGTTCCTGAAGATAAAAGTCACACAGCTAATGAGAAATGGTGGAAATAAGATATAAATCTGGATCATCTAGTTTCAGAGACTATGCTGCCAACCACTGTATTCTACTGCTTTTCTGTTGACATTTAGAGCATTGAGAACATACAGTTTTGGAGTGGAGAGAATGGGGTTCATGTCTCACCTGTTTTTGTTATAACTACTGCCTAGAATTCCAGTGAATTAGGTAAAAGTACCACATTTATGTGAACTCCAAAAGTCTTTGTTTTGGGAATGCTTAACGTTAAGTATAGAGTTTGCAAATTATATGTGGTTTCTCTAATAGTTAAAAGCCATATTTTCTTACATGGTTATTTTTGAAACATGGTAAAAGTATGAAATGTGTAAAACTGAGTCTTAATCAATACAAAGTACATCAGATGGAAAGGAGTTTTTGTTCCATCCATAAGTTGAAATATTTTTATTTCAAGGCTCTTCTACAAGTATAATTAAGTAGATAATAGTAGTGGTTTAGGTTAGACCAAGTGTGTGTGTTTCTGTACTCATGATTTCACTAAAACTAAAACTTTGGCACATTAGAATTTTAAGCTGGAGCCTTCTTTGTGACTCACTGGTGGTCAGATCATCTCACCAGGGAGTGTAAACAGACTACCTTGAATTCTTCACCAGACCTCCTTCAGAGAATAAACCATTTCATAGACTCTGTATTCACTCTGACATCATGTTTTCTTTTATATTTCAACTAGTGAAACGTGTCCCTGGAGCTTCTGAGTATCCTATCAAAGACTTGAGCACCCCTCCAAATTCTTCTGGAAATGGAGGAAATGTTGGGCCTGCAACTAGTCCTGCTAGAAGCAGTGACATGTTGTATCTCATCGTTGGCTGTGTGCTTGGTGTCATGGTCCTCATTCTTATGGTTTTCATTGCAATGTGCCTGTGGAAGAGTCGCCAACAGAATGCCATACAGAGTAAGTCATTTATAAGTATGTTCTTCTATTTTTCCAAAGATGGTATGAAAAAGTATTGTGAGAATAAATATTGATTCTTAATACTTCCATGTATTAGTGTCATGGTATGAAACCCGTTAGATACTGTTCATTCAGAGGAGATGTCTGTAAAACCATGTTAGCTGTCAGCCAAAGTAAGTGGAGCATCAAATTAAATTGCTGAGTAATAAATACCAAAGCCAAAACTAAGTAGGTCTCCAAGTAAATAGCTGACTTGGTTTTAGGAAACTCTGGCTTTGTGGGACCACCAAAGAGGATGATCCCTGGAAATGTATGCTCTGGAGTTGCTGGAGGAACAGCCTCATGCTGGTGCAAATCTGGCCAGCAGGGTGTAGAAATGGCTTGATTCCAAGGAATGTAGTGAAGACTTTTATTGAATTACTCTTATTGAATCACACAAGTGGAGATTACATGGTCCTGTCTCTGCACCTATTATATACACATTGCTCTGGAGTGGCATCCTTTCCCTCCAAAATGTCTAATAATATGTGTGCTTGCAATATTGGTGATGGTACTGTTTTCGCATTAAAAACTCATCTCTTCTGTTTCCCCAGATATTATAAAATATGACATTGAAATCAAGCAGGAATTTTAGATTTTGGTGGGAAAAAGATTTTCAATCTCCTTTTCAGCCCTAGAATAAGGGAAAGAAAGAAAACGAGAGGATACCTGTAGTAATAGGGACTTCTAGTGGCTGTCAGCTGGTTCATCATATGGCTGCCATTTAGTTAATAGCTCAAGAAAAAAATAGTCTCTTTTTATTGGATAGTGCCTTTCAATGGAGGTAGGGAGAGAGAATGTGAAGTCAGGTTGAAAGGGTTGTGATTATTTGACTGGACCTTTTTCTAAATGGTTTTAATGCTGTTATCTTTAATTATGTGAGTGTGTATCGAATCATTAGAATGTGTGTTAAGTCATTGAAGTTACTTCATTCCACCAGAAAATAACTCATTGACTTGTCTTTTATGTGCCAGGTATTATGCAAGTTAAAATAAAAAGGTTCCTGTCCTCTCAAAGTTTGTAGGTTGGTGGAGAAGATAAACAGGTATACTGAATATACACCTGCTTGAGAAAGCACAGGAATAGGAGAAACTAGGGAGAGGAGGGCCATTTTTGGCAATCTCTAATGCCCTTTGAAAATTTATCAAAATCCCATCAACAAATTCTGTAGAGTTTAGATACTATGATTCTAAGGGATATTTTAATTTTTCTAAATATATGTAAAATGATGTCCATGGAAACAATGTATTTAAATCCTTTTAGTATAAGGAAATAGAGTAGCCTTTTGCTTTTGGTACCCCAAACCTCCAAGTGGGCTATAATGGCTAACGGGCTATGTCAGTAGTCAGTGAGTGTTTATACAACACTATTCTTTTCTTTAAAATATTTGTTGTTATTTGAAATATCCTACCTAAAATTAGTCTTTCATTGCTGCTTTGTAACATGCTTTTTCAGCCCTTTGAAATGTAGGTATTTAAGCACTATCTGTTAGTGTTGACAATACTTTGATAGTTCTAGATCATTTAATTTATTCTTTCTCATTTGAGTGATTTCTCTCTGGTTAATTTTACTTCCCATTAACAGAATCATAGTTAATTCAGAGTTCCTACCTACTTTCACACAGTGAAGAAAAAAGCAGTGACTTTTTTAAAGTATATCTCATAAGTAGGCTTTATGAGAATATTTTAGAGTGCTTTATTTTAGTCTATTTGTAGTATCTCAGGGGTTTCAGTATTGAAACTTCCTAAGCAAGAAAATTGGTCTTTTCAGTATCTGAGTTCTTTTATTTTTTTGGCATTTTTATTTTTTTTTTTAACAGAATATGACCCACCGAGGTATCTCTACCAAGGGTCAGATATCAATGGACAGATGGTGGAATGTGCTACTCTCCCGGGAACCCAGATCAATGGAAGTGTTCATGCAGGCTTCCTAGGCAACAGCAGCCTCAACAATGGCTGTGCTCATCTCCATCACAAGGTCCCTAATGGAGTCAATGGCATGGTCAATGGGAGCTTAACTGGAGGGCTCTACCCTGCACACACCAACTCACTAACCAGGACGCATGTGGAATTTGAACATCCTCATCATCTAGTAAATGTAAGAGACCAAATTATAAATGGCAGCCTCTCTGGGCCTCAGGGTGCCAAGTACCAAGCTTGGTTTTCTTATTATAGAAACCATGCTGGTTCCATGGGTAGAAATAGTGTGTATCACCAGTAGCACCTTGATCCAGAGTAATCTTAGGTAATAGTTGTATTTGTCAGTGTGATTTCTATTTTAAATTATTTAACACACAAAATAGAGTGTCAGTAAAGAATACAGTACAAGTTGTTCTTGAGATGAAATAGAAAAACCACTAGGCACAGAGCAGAGCAGATACTTTACATTCAGTTTCTTTGGAGAGAGTCTGAAATGACAAATGCTGAGAGGCCTGCCAGAGAGTGAAACTGCAGCAAGTAGGGAGAGAGGTAGCAACCTACGGTAGGTACCTTGTTAATCAAGCAGCTCAATTTTGTGCCTACGGTTGTCATGTGGGGCAAAAGGGAGCCTAGTGTTGCTAGGGTTTTTGATTCTTTGAAATGTCTGTAAATCTAGGTGAGGTCACTAGATATATTCATGCTAAGAACAAATTCACTTTTTTTTTTTTGTGGTACTGGGGATAGAACCCAGGTTTAGGAAAGTACTCTACCACTGAGCTACACCCCTAGTTCCAGATTTTTCAAAGCATTGTGAAGACCATGCAAAATATGTCTACAAGTAACTGTGTTGTGACTTCTGACTTACTATATTTTTGTTTGTTTTTTCCAATGTGTTTTGTCATTGTGGCTCGTAAGCTTTTTGCATTTTAGAATACTAGTATTCTTTAGCCACAGGAGTGATAAGCCCTTAAAACTCTTATTTTAGAGATAACTAGATGGTATAGTTTAATTTTCAAAATGGGCATAGAATAACTAGATATTTTATATTTATGCTGGTTAAAGTGTTCTCTAGCACTAGGAAATTTGGTTTATTAATACTGTTTGGAAGTGCATCCATATTGTTTTTAATCAAATAAATAATTTGTTTAGTTGATCAAATTAAGCATTCATTTAGATTTTTGTCATTGTTCTGACTATGGATAAATTTTCCATCATCTATAAAGTACTGTAATTTGAAGTAAGTTTAGATGTTTTTTTCATATCCAAATACTACATTTGGAGAACAAGACTGAAATACATTTTTGTACCTTAAAGCTGGAAACTTAGGGCTTTTATGTGACACACCTTTTGTATGTTGTAAACAAAAGTATCTAATTTACTTCAGTGCATCTTTTTTTTTTTAATCAAAAGAGGATAATGGTTTCATTATTTATGGAGAAAGCAGGGCTTATATTGTGACATCCTAAACTTTTTCAGTCACCATTGCTAGTCTAAACTACTAACACTGCAAGGAAGCTGAAGGAGAGAGCATTAGATTTTGGATACCGCATGCTGTTTCCATAAGAAGAAAAAACAAGGCTAATGTTTGCTTTAGTACTTGAACATGGAACTTGGGGTTTTCTGAACAGTGATTTGCTATTTGAATAATAGTTGCACCACTAAGGGTACAACTTTAGAAGTTATCTTCTGCGATTCTAACCTATTTTCTTACTCTTCTCTTTGGGTGGGAGGAAATAGGGAATTTAAAAATGCTAGTGATCATAAAAATCATTAACTTTAACATGTGTAGTGATTAAAATAAATAGGTTATTCTATAGGTTGCAAAGTTCATTTTCTGAATCTTTGGAGTATACCCTCATGAGCATAGTGTAGAAATAGTCTCTCTCAGTATTTTCTCTTTTTTTTTGGTACCAGGGATTGAACTCGGGTCCTTGCACTTGCAAGGCAAGTGACAGAACCCCTGAGCTAAATCCCCGGCCCAGTATTTTCTTAATAATTCCTGTTGCTGGTTGGATCAAAAATGCCAAAAGAAATTTTCAGTGTTTTGGTTTGTTTAAATTCTGACTGTTGTTGTGTGCTGAATGGAAGTGGAACATATTCTAGGAAAAACAACTGCCTGAACTTTTCCCAACCTTGAAGGCTCGCTTTGGGTTTGGGTGCAGTGTGACATCCTCTGCCACCCTTATCAAATTCAGTTCTGCTGTTTTTTATTGAAAAGCAGAATTCTGTCTTTAACTGTAAGGCCAGTTCATTTTTTAACTTCAAGTTCACCATTGTGTATGTCAAGTGAATATTTTACAATGAGGTATGTGTTAATCTGGGCATTTTTCTTAATTGCTAGGCAGTTTCCGCCAAAAGCAACATCAAAATATTGATACCGCCCTCCAAGTCATTGCTGGCTGAGAATCTACTCCATCTGGAAAAATATGACATATTTTAAAACTTAGTGTAGTTCAGTGAACAGACCTAATTGAAATAATTACAGGAAAGTGAAGATGGGTTACTGTTATGACATCATTCAAACAGACTTCACACCCTGTTTCTCCAACTGGCACCACCTAAAGTTTTTCCATGACTGCCAGAAAAAGAAAAATGAATAGGAGGTTATGGTGTGTGTTATATTTGGGGCCCATTAGAATTGAAACACTGGAGGGAAGTGACTAACCTTTTCCCTTCGTTTGCCTCTTTTCCCGTACAGAAATACAGGGAAAAACATGAGAGTTAAGTTTTTGGAGTATAGTTTCGTACTGTGCAGAATTCATTTCTGAATAATAAATAATAAACAGCATTGCTCGGGAAGTAGACTCAAATGTACCAGGTAGCCATTTGTTATTGACGTGATGTACGTACTTGTGATTATTTGGCTAATGGACTATGGCACCTTCAGTACTTTTTTCTTTTCTTTTCCCTTGGACTTCCTTCTTGACCAGGGTGGAGGAATGTACACAGCAATCCCTCAGATCGACCCTCTGGAGTGTGTTAACTGTCGAAATTGTCGGAACAACAATAGGTATGTTCATGGGTATGCACACAGGTCATTGTGAATAAAGCGTACGTGTTCCTTTACTTTTTTCTTCAACAAAGGAAGTTCTTGAAACTTTACCTAAGATATAAAACTCAGAATTTGCAGTCTCAAGTTGAAGGCTGTGTTCACTGCTTTATAATTTTTATCTTTCTGTGCCTGTTTCTTTAGACATATAGTAACAATAGTAAAGGCTAAATTTCTCACAGAAATATGATTAAAAGGCTTGATGTTTTTGAAAATTTTAAATTAGAGTCACTCTCTGCTTATAGCCTTTCTCTTTTCTTAACTCTTATTTTCCACTCCATATTATCAGACAGTATGAGGATAAATAAAAATATGTTTGAATGTTAAAGGAAATAATAAAAACAAGCTGGGCACAGTGCTGCACACCTGTAATCCTAGCACTGAAGGAGGCTGAAGCAAGAGGATCTTGAATTTGAGTCCTGCCTGGGCAACTTAGTGAGACATTGTTTCAAAATTGTAAAAAATTGAATTAATAGGACTGGGATATAACTTGGTGGTAGAGTGCCCCTGGGTTTGATCCCCAGTACTGAAAACAAACAAAAAATGAAAAAACAATATTCCTACATATATAGTAGTATTTTTCATAGTAATATTAACTGAAATTTTCCTTCTAAAGGTAATTTAAGTATTAAAAATCTTTCTTTCTTTTAGTTTTTTTAACTTTAAAAGTGATATATACTCAAAATATTTCATACAAGATAGAATAATGTATGCATTTAAATTGTGACACAGAATATTAGAAAGCCTTCATGCTACCTCTCTATATATTAATCCCAAAGGATCATCAAGCTTCTTATACTTAAGTTCCATAGAAATCTGAGTTCTTTTACATAATGATGACATACAGTGACGGTGAACCTTTCAGAGCTTTGAGTGATACAAACAGCCCACTGTAGCATGTGTGCCATAGGTTCACCACCACTGAATAAGATTTCATAGTCTCAACATTCTTCCAGCCTCTAAAATACTACGATTATAAAAATTATATTATACTGGTAGTTAGTACATAAAATAACTGGAGTATGGATTGGAGTTTGGATATTTCATTACTGAAAACAGGTTTGACCTATAATGTTAAAATAAATTAAAGTACATTAAAATGACATTTTTGTCCTCACTGTTCTTTACCACAATTTGTATGGAAAACATATTAAAGAACTGGTAAACTGGCTGATATACCTAGTTTTTGATCAGATGAATTAATTAAAATGAATAGTTCTGTCTAAATACATACTGTGTGGGTCCCTAATGGTTCTTGTGTCCATCAGCAGGTCTTAAGTGTTCCTACACAGTAGAATGGTGTAATGTGAAGACCTTTGGTCTAACAGTAAGCCCTAACTTGGGCTTTGCCACTGCTCAAATCTGTGATTCATTTAGATGAATTCTCTTCAGCTTGGAGAAACCAGCTTGTTTCTCCCTGGGTTAAAAGTTTCCTGCACAAGAACCTCCCTGCCAAGGGCAAATCTTTACGCACCTCATTGCTGCCAAGGTTACCTGGTTGTCCCCTCTGGCTCCCACGAACCACTGTGTGACTTTGACACTTAGTAATTTGACAGATAAGTATTTATAAGTACCTACTATCAACTCTGAAAAATTGGAACCATTAAATCTCATGTTTCTAATTTTTATGACTTTGAAATTGAGAACAAGTTATCTCCTTTCAAGATCCTACAAAATGGCAAAACCTGTAATAAGTTTTGAAAGCTGAGAGGTGATGTTACATGATTTACTTCTAAAATAAGCAAAATTATACTCAGTGTACCCTTTTAGAACATCAGCATTATTAACTAAGAGTAAGCTTGTATTTGTATTTCCTAATACCAGCTGAAATACAGTGTATCATAAAAAGAGATAGAATTTCAATTAAGTTATCTAGGTACTGTTAAGTGGGCATTGTAGAATTCTGGCTATTCTGTCAAAAAACACTTACTAATCACTAGACAGGTCCTGGAAAAGGTTATAAGGTGTTTCTGTACAGAAGGAATTACAAGAGTAGTCATTGATATGGGAAGGGTAATGCTTATACAAGAATAAATAGTTGAATTCCAAGTTGTGCATTACAATCCCTCAGAGTACTATAAATATACAAATCACCTAGCTTTACTCCTAGAGTTTCTTTTTAGGGGTGCAGCATAGAGATTGAACCCAGAGTCTTGTGCATGCTGAGCAAGCATTCTACCACTGAACTAAATCCCTAGCACTTTAAAATTTTACTTTGGGACAAGTGTCACTAAATTGTCCAGACTTACCTTGAACTTGAGAACCTCCAACCTCAACCTCTTCAGTACCTGGTATTACAGACACATCGCACCACACTACTCCTAGAATTTCTTATTCAGAAAATCTAGGATGGAGCCTAAGGCTTTGCATTTCTAATGGGTTCTCAGGGGATCTTGATACTGGTGGTCCTGTGACCATACTTTGAGAACCAGTGGAATAATTTGACCAGCTGATGAAGTGGAAGTAGAGAATAGTGAGATATAAAATTGGGTAAGTAGATTGAGTTTATATCATATCAAGTTAAGCAGTCTATTTAATAAACATATATTGGATGCTTACCATGTACCAGACACTGGCCCGAGCCTTACCTTCAGAGAGCCCACAGTCTAGTAGTTTTGATTCTTAAGCACAGTAGGGAGTATAGTGAGTAGTTTGAAAAAGCAGGTTGAATATCATTATTTTGTATTTAAGAAATAGCAAAAATCTTGTTTCTGTAAAATAAAGAGTAAGAAGGGTCTGAGTTTTTTTTTTAACAGTAATCAAAAGGAGATATGGGTTAAATATTGAGATACATTGGGGTAGTAGCATTCTCATTCATAACAAAGCTTTTTGAGAAGGGATATCATCTGGTCAAAGGTGTGTTTTAGCTCAACAAATGGTAGCAATGCACAGGTTGGATTTGAGAGAGGAGACCAGGGAGACTTGCTGTAGGGAAGGTTTCACATCCATCAAGGAATGAAGAAGAGATGAATGAGTTTGCAGAGATGGCATCTTTAGTACTTGGCCATTGTCTGATAGGGATCTTAAAAAAAGAAGATTCCAGGCCAGGGATTTAGCTCAGTGGTTCCGCCGCCTGCCTTGCAAACGCAAGGTCCTGAGTTTGATCCCCGGCACCAAAAAAAAAAAAAGAAGATTCCAAATGTGGATGACATAGTAATTGTCAGTGTGGTAGTCATAGAAATAAGAAACTTAATAAAATGATACATTGAGGAAAGGTGATGAATTTGGTTTCAGGCCTTTTTAAGTTCAATACCACGTGGTATCTAAGTTAAGGAGACAGATGAGAATATTGGTCTTGGGGGGCTGGGATGTAGCCCAGTGGGAGAGCACTTGCTTGGCATGTATGAGGCCCTGAGTTCAATCCCCTACATTGTTTTTTTTTTAAAAAAAGAGGGAAAGAAACAAAAAGCAAACTTGGTCCAGAGTGTAGATTGGGATTATGTTACAAATTAGGACCATTCATATCAAAGTGATAGAATTTAAACTTGAATGAAATCAACGGAGACAATATCCTTGGTTGATTGCTTTTATATATTATTTGATATAATTTGCTTTTAATTCTTACATATTTAATGTAATTGGATACTCTTTGTATAAGATGTCATCTCATTTCTTTTTCTTGCTGCCTTGGTATGTCTTCAGAGAAGAATAAAGATAGGGAAAAGAGAATTATAAAATAAGGAGTATGAGAAAGAAAATAAGGATCCATTCATTTGTTCTAAGTGTTTGTTGAAGGTCTGTAGTGAGCCAGGCACCAAGCTGGGTACTGGGGATTTGGCAGTGAGCAAGCAGGCATTGCCCCTGCCTACATGCAGGAGTTTAGTAGGGGAGACCATTCTTTTTAACAAAAGACATAAATAATAAAGGTAAATATATAATTAAAACTAGGTGCTTTAAAGGAAAAATAAAAGATGTGCTAGAGAGGAGAGACCTCTCTCAGCAAGAGACATTTTGATGCTCTCAAAAGAATTAAAAATTAGGTAAAAAAGTAGGGAATAGGATCAAAGCTTTCCAGGAAGAGGGTACTACTTGAACTAAATCTCTAAACAGAATGTGTGAATCTTCAGAGAACTTTTTTTTGTTTTGTTTTTTGGTACTGGGGATTGAACTCAGGACCTTGTGTTTGCAAGGCAGGCAAGGTGCCAGAGCTAAATCCCCAGCCCATCAGAGAACTTTTAAAGAATACTAATATAGCAGGAACATAGGACATAAAGTTAAAGGTAAAAGCTGAATGAAATGACATCATTCAGAGTCAGTAAGTCAGTGAAAGATTGTAAGCAGGACAACATGATAATAGGAGTCTGGCTTTTGAGAACACTTCGGTGCCCTTTGGCGAATAAATCAGGTGGGGCATGGGAGGAGAGTGGGGTGGCAGGTGCAGCAGTCCAGATGAAAACATAGTGGCCTAGGATAATGTTATGGTTTGGGTCTAGATGTTCCCCCCAAAGCCTCTAGATGTCCTCCCAAAGCCTCATATTTTCATAATATGAAAATATGGTCATAGATTTGATCTAGAGTGTGTGAAGCTGGAATTGATTCATGATGCAGTGCTAGGCTCAAGGGCACTAGGATTAAGGGTGTGAGTGCTACCTGCCCTAAGTAGTCTAAATAAGATAAAAAGGGCAAGGAAATGCTATTAAGGTCCCTCTTGTTACCTTTGCTATCTTGTGTGGGCCAATGCTGCGATGCTTGTTTGCCGTCCAGCCTTGGAGCCAGCTGATTATGGACTGAAACCTCTACAAACTGTAAGCCAAATAAATCCCTGCGCCTCTAACTTTGGGTGTTCGGTATTTTGTCTCAGCAATGAGAGGAAAGTAACACAGATAGTTGCCACACATATGGAGAGAATGTGGTATGTTTAAGATATTTAGAATCTAGCCAGGGATTTAGCTCAGTGGTTGCGCCTGCTCCCTTGCAAGTGCAAGGACCCGAGTTTGATCCCCGGTACCAAAAAAAAAAAA